AAATGGGTTCTGCCATCCGCCGCATCAACACAAAACACATGAGACTTTAATGGGAAGGAACTTTAATAAAACTAGGAAACAATACAGGTAAGGCAAAGAGTCTAGTTTCTAAATGAAGCACCCAAAGTTACCCATCCCCTCGTGGGTAAAAGTCCATCCATATGGGATCGGCCCAGAACAAGGCCCCAAAGTCTACCACAAGTCTAAAACATCTTCCAGTGGGGACCCACAGAAAAGGGTCACAAACAACTGGACAAGCCCGGAAGGAAAAGAGCAAAATCAACATCAAGATAAAAACTGCCATTGTCACCTACCCACGGGTCTCACCCACATCTGTGTCACCCAGTCCACGACCAAAAGACAAGCAGTTTCTTTACGTGTCTCTAGGCTCCATGCGCCTCCTCCAGGTCTCCTTCTGGCTCCATCCTGCTTCCTTCCTCAGTCTCTTCTGCAGCTTCTCCTCTTCCTGCTCAGCTCCACCCTTCCTTGGGTGGGGCAGGGAACCTGGAACCTCCCCCTTTCCTGGGGACCACCCTGTTACAGGACTACATCAAATTAAAGAGTTTCTGCACAACAAAAGAGACAATAACCAAAACAAAGAGAAACCCCACCGACTGGGAGAACATTTTTGCATACAACACTAATGATAAAGGACTGATCACAAAAATCTACAAAGAGCTGATGAGACTCAACAAAAACAAAGAAAATAATCCAGTCAAAAAATGGGCAGAAGAGCTAAAAAGGAACTTCTCCAAAGAGGAAATGCAAACGGCCAATAGGCATATGAAAAAATGTTCAACATCACTTGTAATCAGGGAAATGCAAATCAAAACTACAATGAGATACCATCTTACACCAGTGAGAATGATAACATATTAAAAAAACTAGCAATAACAAAATTATAACATATGAGAAACATATGATATGAGATATGAGAAAGAGAGTGAATTTCTGGAACACAGTAACAAAGACATAGAAGATCTGTCCTTTCAATCAGATACAGAATTTAAACTTGTCATGATAAACAAATTCAAAGAACACAGAGAAAACACAGAAAAGCAGGTCAATGATGAGCAAGAAAATTCAAAATCATTCTCAATGGTGACAAGCTGAAAGCTTTTCCAATAAGGTCTGTACAAGACAAGGATGTCCACTTTCATTCAAGATAGTATTGGAAGTCTTAGCCAGAACAAATAAGCAAGAGAAAGAAATACAAGAAATCCAAAACTTGGGAAAAAAGAAGAAAGTTATTTATTTGCAGATGGCATGATAATATACATAGGGAACACTAAAGAATCCACTAAAAAACAAATTGAAATAATAAATCAAATTGTCAGGTTATAAAATCATTACACAAATATCAGTTGCCTTCCTATATGCAAACAACGCGCTAGGAGGCAAAGAAATTAAGAAAATGATCCCACTTCCAATCTCACCAAAAAAATAAATAAGTACTTAGTAGTAAACCTAATGGAGGTGAAGAACTTATACAAAGAAAACTCTAAAGCATTAACAGAAATAGAAGAAACACAAAGAAATGGTAAGAAATTCCTTGTTCATAGATTAGAAGACTCACCATTGTCAAAATGGCCACCCTACACAAAGCAATATACAGATTCAAAACAATCTCAATAAAAATCTCAATGACATTCTTCAAAGAAATGGAACAAACATTACTGAAATTCATATAGAACCACAAACACACCTATCATACTTTCAGACTTCAAACTATAATATAAAGCCTTAGTAATTAAAGCAGCATGGTTATGGAACAAAAACAGACACACAGACCAGTGGAAAAGAATTGAGATCTCAGAAATGAACTTATATGGACACACCGGTATGGACAGTTTATGTATGACAAAGAAGCCAAAAATATATACTGGAACAAGGAAAGACTCTTCAATAAATGGTACTGGAAAAACTAGACAGCCACATGCAAAAGATGAGACTAGACCACTATCTCACAACATACACAAAATCAACTCAAAATAAATAAAAGTGTTGGAAGTGAGACCTGAAATCATAAAATACATAGGAAAAAACATAGGCAAAACACTTTCTGACAGAAGCTTCATTGCTGTCTTTGAAGATTCATTTCTAGCAGCAAGGAAAACAAAATATAATATAAACAACCAGACTACATCAAACTAAAAACTTCTGCACAGGAGACAAAACTGTAGCTAAAATGAAGAGGCACACTACTGAATGGAGAAAATTTTTGCACACCATACATTTGACAAGGGACTGTTTTCAAAGATCTACAAAGAGCTCATAGATACTAACAAAAAGTAAATAATCCAATCAAAAGATGGGCAGAAGAGCTAAATAGGCACTTTTTTCAAAGAAGACGTATAGTAGGCACATGAAAAAAATGTTCATCATCACTTATAAGGAAAATGCAAATCAAAATCACAGTGAGCTCCCACCCACACCTGTGAGAATGGCCCATACAAAAAAGAGCAGCAACAAGTGCTGGCGAGGGTGTGTAGAAAAAGGAACCCTCCTACTTTGTTGGTGATAATGTAGACTGCTACAGTCTCTATGGAAATCAGTGAGAAGTTTCTCAAAAGATTAAACATGGACCTGCCATATAATCCAGCAGTTCTACTCCTAGGTATTTTCCTGAAGAATATGAAAATACTAATTCAAAAGGAAACTTGCTCTCCTATGTTTATTGCAGCACTATTTATAATAGCCAAGCTATGGAAAAAACCTAAGTGTCCCAAAACAGATGAATGGGTCAAGAAGATGTACTGAATAGTATATATACACAATGGAATATTATTCAGCAATCAAAAAAGATACTCATGCCATTTGTGGAAACATGGTTGGAGCTAGAAAGGATTATGATAAGCAAAACAAACCAGGAGAAGGATAAATGTCAAATGATGTCACTTACATGTGGAACATAGAGAAACCAAACAAAGTATCAGACAAAGACAGACTCTAAAAGGAACACTTGAAGGCTGACCTTAGAACTCAAATATCCAAAAGGGGACTTGGAGGGGTGCAAACAGCATAGGGAGAGAGCACAGTGAACTGTGGTGAAGGATTATGGGTTCTTTGGCAGTGGGTATGCTGTGATGACTACACATGATGGAGGAGATCCTATACTTTAGAAACACTAGCACTGATGTAATTGATGAGTGGACTGGTATATTCGGAGGCTCACTTTCTTGCAGATTTAAGCCAATTCCTTCATTATTACCTATATCGGTGACAGTTTTGGCCTCATTCTCCCCACCCACCCCCACCCCCCCACCCACCCCCAAAACCTACTATAAACAATAGACCACTATAGTAAAGTGTCTGGCTATTAAAAAATAAATAAAAACATTTATCAGAAAGCAATTCAGTTTTTCTAAATATATTCACAAGGAACTTCCAAGATTGGAATTATAGACTAAAACCACATTTTTAAAAAATTTCCATTTTTTTGTTTTCTTTTTATAGTTTACTGAACAAGATTTCTGTTAAATATTCTGGTTTTTTTTTTCTTTTTTTTTAAGATTTATTTATTTATTTACTTACTTACACAAGCACTGGGTACAGGCAGAAGCATGGAAGGGTGAGAGAATTCTCTTCTCTCTCAGAACGACTGAAGTACACTGCTGAGGGGAGCAGCGGGTGGCAGGAGAGGTCTGCGCGCCATGTGGGACCCTCCTCGGGTGGCCGGGGAGCAGCCGGGGATCGAACCAGCGCCGCAGAGGCTGCAGGCAGCTTCGCAACCCAGCGCTCAACCTCTGCGCCACAGGGGAGGCCCCTATTCTGGTTATTTTAAATTTGGGTGAACAGAAGTGACCCAGGAGCCCTTTCCAGCCTGGGTATTTATTGCACTATAAGTTAACAATGCAGTTTCTTATCGATCAGGTTTCCCAGGGTTCATGGGTTGTGCTACAATAACTCCTAGTAACAGTACAATGAACCCTAGTAACCCAAAGTTTTTATAGCAGATGACTTCATTAGGGCTTGTCTAGACAACAGATCTCCAAAATCATAGCATGTGAGAGCTAGAAGAGACCTAACAAAGATGCTGTAATTTAGTTCCTAAATGTTCTTTTTGCCATTGTAGCAATAATTTGGGGATTTGAGGGATGGTGACACTATGACTTTAGCTTGGAAAGTGGAAAACTGCTACGCATATGGGATGAGCCTAACTTTTCTTTTGGGTGCGAGCTATAAACAAACAAAAGTTATTCAGGATAAAGCAGCAAATTTGAGAAGAATTTCTTTCCTGTTCATGTTTGTCAAAATAGGAGAGATTCCGTGGATGTTATACACCTAGAGAAAGTAATTGTAGTAGATAAAATCGTAACTTTTTAGATAGGCTCTCCTTGCCAAAGTAACCAAGTTTCAAAAAAATACTACAACCTCTGCCAATGAAATCCACATGCTATCAACAGTTCATTATCATTGGGACTTGGATTGCATTCACCTGGGTCCCTAACCTTCAGCCATTTTACTCAGGTCAACAAAATAATTGATCATATTGAAAAAAAAAGTTTGACAACAAACTTTTCCACTGGTTGTTTTGCTGTCCTGGCTTTTGATGTGGAACTGTTCAGTGTAGAGCCTAAACTCAACCCCCAGCTTCACTGGCATGTAAATAGCAAATACCCAATCTACCTGCAAGTCCAGATTTATCTGATTATTTTGATTGAGTACATTTCTTCTGAGCACCGAGGATAAAAATAGCCCATCTCTGAAAAAGTGTCTTCAGAGACCTTTGTATGATTTGCCTGTTTAAACAATTACATGGGTAAGGTAGTCACAAAGTTAGTGCCCTGAGGATAAATATTAGCTGAACTTACTATCTTTGTGAGAAGGGAACTGATGTCTGTAAGACTTTCTTGAGAGAAAGAACACTAATGACTTGACATACGGAAATGAACGCAAAGTGCTTTGTATATGGTGAAGTTTTCCTGTGAAGTATTCTTTGCTCCAATCCTTGTGACAATGTGTGAATATCTCTTGCCTCCTTTGTTATATTTCCATAGGAAGCTGCCCTCTGCAGACAGCTGCCCATGGAAGCCGATACTCTGACAACAGTGCAGGCTGCTGCCAACCCTCCTGCCATGACCTCAGACATGAGATCCATCTCTAATAATAGCTCCGATCCTTTCCTCAATGGGTAAGTTAACATTTTGGGGACCTACTTTTGCTTTCTTTGTTAGGTGGTCTACAGTATAATGGGTCTTTGTTTATTTTATTTTATTTTTTTTTTTATGGATTGAATATCTCCATATTCTAAGAACTGAGTTTTTTTGTTTTTTTTTTTTTAATTTTTTTTTAATAGAGGCATGTTTTTTAATTTATTTATTTGTTTGTTTTGTCTGTTTGTTTGTCTTTGTTTATGATGGAAAAAGGGGATGAAACTAGGAGAGAGATAGGTGGAAAAGTAAAAGCAGAGGACGCCATCTATTTTAAAATGAATGAATGAATGAATGAATGAATGAATGAATTTATTTATATATATTTTACATCATTGTTCATTTTTGTACAGTGTTTGCTTTCTCCTCTCAGGTGTAGTCCCTGCAAAATTCCCACCACCAGTTCACCTGTGCACCATCACCATAGTCCCTGTGCTCTTCCCTCCCCTGTTTTGATCCTGACTCCTCCCCCGCCACCCCCTGCAGAATGTCTCTGATTGATAGTTGCCTGTTAATTTTGCTTTCTTATTTATTATTATATATTTTCATTACATATTTTTTCCTGATCCCTATTTGCTTCCCCTATATTCGTCCTATAAGTGAAATCATCCGATATTTTTTCTTTTCCTTCTGGCTTATTTCACTGAGCATAATCCCTTCTGCCTTTTTTTTTTAATCCATAGTTGAGGTCCATTGCATGTGAAAGATGGAAACTAGACCCTTGGTGGTCAACTTAATGGAGTATGTGTAGATGTTGCTTTATAACACTATACACTTGAACCTGCATAATGTTATAAAATAATTTTGCTTAAATAAAAATTATTTTTAAGAAAATTGATGATGTGAATAATAATTTAAAAATGGGAATGAACTTATAATTTCGATAGGATGGCATTGTATAGCAATTATTTAGAAGAATCTTAGGATTTCCTATAGTTAACAGGGAGGTAAAAGCATGTCATATGGCCATTAGGGAAAAAGAAATGGTTTTTATGATGAAATGAAATAAGGTTAAATAAGCCTAACTTAATCATCTTATACAATTTCCTGGTTTTGATAACAGTAGTTGTAGTTGTGTAAGGTGCCACTGGAGAGACTGGGGGATTGGGCACGGGAGCTCTCTGTTCCTTCTGCATCTTCTGTTGTGCATCTAAAATTGTTTCACAACAAAAAATTAATCAAAACAAAGAGATGAGGTTTTAAAATGTGAAACATAGGAGTAGAAATAAAAGATAATTTAGCAAAAATTATCTTCATGAGTATTATTTGTCAACCCTAAATGTGTTTTTTAATTCTAAATAATATGCAGTACGCTATTTCCGTATTTGTTCTCCCTCCCCTATAGATGCTTCTGGCAAATTAGCAAATATAATTATGGCAGTTATTAAAAATAGAGCCAGACAAAAACAAACAACAACTGCAATGAAGGAAAGGAGTTTTTAAATTGCTAATGTAAAAGGATTTCAAATGTATAGAAAAATATTAAGATGATGTAAGATTTACCTGTGCATTTAACATCCAGATTTGCCATATTTTATCAATTTTATTTTTATAATAAATAAAACATTGTGATTAATATTTAAATCCATGCCCCACCACTGAAGTACTTTCTTTTTATTCTTCACTTTCTTGTGGCAACATTCTTCAGAAATTGATGTGTGTCCATCACACATATTTTCATATATCTTATTGCCTATTCTTATTGCATATTTCTTATTGCCTATTTTTTTAATTTTACATAAGTGATATAATATGTAGAACATTATTCAAATTGTTATTTTGAGGCAAAAAGGAAGTCAATGTCAATTTACTATGTATGCCAGGTTTATTTGCATATAACTTATTAATTTCATTGATATTGGGAGTTTCAAAATTAAAAGGAGGTGCATTGTCCCTCCCTTACCAGGAAAGTTGGACAGAATGATAGAACTACAATAATTTAGAGTTTTCAGGACTGTATTAATTTTGAAATATCTTTAGTGGCTCATGCTGACGTTTGTCCATCTTTTGTTCTCCAGAGGGCCGTATCATTCGAGGGAACAGAGCACTGACAGTGGCCTGGGCTTGGGGTGTTACAGTGTCCCTACCACCCCAGAGGACTTTCTCAACAATATGGATGAAATGGACACAGGTAGGACAAAGTCTGCAATGATTTGCAGTGTGGTTGCATTTGAAATCATATCTTTGGGCAGCTCACTTTTCACATCCAACCAGAAATGCTTGCTTACTTTTTTTTTTTTAAAGATTTATTTATTTATGCTTACAAGGACTGGGGTGTAGCCCACAGGTGCCGGGGGGGGGGGGGGAGGTGAGAGGATTCACCAGAGACAGAGTGTGGAACAGAACAGGCAGATTGACTGAAATACACTGCTGAGGGAAACAACAGGCCAGACAGGAGAGATCTGCTGCACCATGTGGGTAGCTCTCTGGCCGGGGATAGAACTCCTGCTTCAGACGTTGTAGATAGCTTCATAGAGCTGTGTTTAACCTCTTGCACCACCAGGGAAGTCCCCAGAAATGCTTACTTTCAACAAAATAAAATTACAACTGAAAACACCCAATCACTGGCATTATTAATAAATTCTGGTCCCTTCCTGGTAGCTTATACAAATAAAACTTTATATATGGACAGAGGATTTTAAATTCTGCTTTCCTCCTCCTTCTCTTCCTTCTCCTTTTTAAAATTCATCCTTATTTCATATAGTCTCTTCTCACAATTACATTACTATACCATGGTGTGTGCAGTGCTAGGGAGTATCTAGAAAATTAAGCAACTCCAAAAAAAAAAAAAAGAAAAGAAAACAAAATTAAGCAACTCCGAGGATTTTAAATTATCAGCTCCAAGTCTCAACATAGTAACAACAAGCTCCCTCAGCAATAAAGGAGAGTCAGTGACATTATCCCCAGCCTGACCAGCCTGCAGGCTGGCCCTCAGCAGGCTTCTTTCTGTGTTACCACCTCTCCTTTTCTTTTCTTGTCAAGAGGACTTTTAATTGCAAAACTTGAATTTTATTTTATTACTCAAATCTAGACTTTATTATGAAAATCCTAAAGTCCCAGAAGATATACTATAAATGTCAATAGAAGTATCTACTATTAGCATTATTCATGCAAGTTCTCCTGCACTATCACTGAAGAGAGGAAATTAGTTGTTCTGTGATGAAAATATTCGCTTTCCCCAGTGTTGTTGTCTGCAGCCCATGTGTGTTGCACTCTGCTCCTAGATGGCTGTTCTCTGTACTCTGAAGGCAAATTATTCCTGAAACCTAAGTCCAATTCAATCAGGAAGCTTAGGAGTACAGCATGTCAGAGTGTTTGCCTGGAATCTTCCTTCAAACCTCATCTGCATGTTTAGAAATTGCACAGACTGACCAAGAGTCTTGAATCTAAACATGACATTTAAAGAGAAAAAAAAAAAAAAAAGAGCTTTTCAGCTGGATCTGCCATCTTCGTAAAGTCACCAAATGACCTACACAATGGGAAAAAGGAGACGCCCCCCACTCTATCTTCTCTAGACCTTTTAGAAAACATGGAGTTGTTCCTTTGGCCACATACATGCAGATCTACAAGGAAGGTGGTGGTGTAGATATCAGTGGGATGGGTACTGTTCAAAACAGAGTGCCACACAAATGTTACCATGGCAACAGTGGAAAAGTCTATAACACTACCTGACATGCAATTGATTGTGTAAACAAACAAGGGCAAGATTCTTGCCAAAAGAATTAATGCTCATATTGAGCATATTAAGCACTCTAAGAGCTGAGATAGCTGCCTGAAGCTATTAGGAAAAAAGGAAACCAAAGAGAATGGTGCCTGGGTTCCACTGACACGCCAGCCGGCTCCACCCAGGGAAGCAGACTGTGTGAGGACCGAGGACAGGAGCCTGAGCGGCGGGAACCCACACCCTGTGAATTCAGGACTTGAGAGATGTGTAAAAAGGAATAAAGGACCTCTGGATTATAAAAATTTTTCTCTTAATCAAATAGAAGTGTGGTTTCCCCTTTCCAAAAAATGTTCAAAGCAAAAAACAAACAAAAAAAGCCTTTATTAAAATGATGTCCAGGGCCTCCCCTGGTGGTGCAGGCAGTTGAGCGCCACGCTGTGAAACTGTCCGCAGCCTCTGCAGCACTGGTTCGATCCCAGCCGGCCAGCGAGGGTCCCATATGGTGCGGCAGACCTCTCCTGTCACGCCCGCGGCTCCCCTCAGCAGTGTATTTCATCAGTCTGCCTGTTCTGTTCCCCGCTCTGTCTCTGGTGAATCCTCTCACCCTCCCTTGCATCTGGCCTGTACCCCGGTTCTTGTATAAAATAAATAAATAAATCTTTAAAAATAAAATAAAATAAAATGATGTCCAGTAGGTAAACAGGGAATGTTTTGAAGCTGTAACATGGAATTAAGGATGCCCTAAAAATAACATAGTCTTTGCTGACAGACAACCTGAGTGAATACTTGCTTCTCCACTTTGTGGTATGTCTTTGGGTAGGTGATAAAACCATTTCCCATCTACAGAATGGGAGTACTCCCATCTTCTCATGGCGTTGTGAGGAATTATGTGCTCATAGAACTTGATACAGAGCTCTCGTCTCCTCCTAAGAGGCTGAAGTAGGTGCAAAGTGAACTTGATAAATGTTAGGGTGCCAACTTAGACTGGTTAAGTGAGTCTCAGCCCTTTGAGGTTTGGGTCATCTCTGTGAAGATTTTATAGGAAGCAGCATCAAACCCTCCCAAGGGAAGAAATGTAATTAAAGTAACAGATGAAGCAAGGTAAAATTCAAGTAGGTGGAATTCAAGTATGGCTAGAAAAGGTCTGGTAGATTGCTGACAACTTGCAAAATGGGAGTGAATTAACTGTCTCTCCCCCCTCCCCTTTGCAAAACATATATGGAAGCAACGGTTGGATTTGATATGAGGATAGTGTAAAGGAAATAGCAAGAGCAAAGGCTGGGAAGAAACCCATCATTCTGCAGTATTCTTCAGTATTCTGCAATAATCACACCATTTTAAGAATTGCTTGGCTTTTGTCTCCTACATTTTAAATACATCAAACTGCAAAGACCAAAAAGATTACTGAGATTGTGCAAAGTTGCTCTAAAGAGAGACATTTTAAGATTGCTAACCGTAACAAATTGCTAGCCTTAATTGCTAACAAATTGCTAGCCTTAATCAGTTTCTTTATGCTTTTTCCATGTGTGAGAAGAAAGGAAAAGAAGAATTTTTTTATAGAAAGATATATAGAGAGTTTCGTTAGGCTAAAAAATGTATTGTGTCATTAGAAAGTTAAAATGGAAACAGTAGAGATGAGTGATTATAACTGGAAATTTTAAGGCCTCATTTCTATGAGATACACTCTGGTCAGTAGAAAAAAAAGCAACTTGGGCCTCCCCTGGTGGCACAGCGGTTGAGCGCTGGGTTGCGAAGCTGCCCGCAGCCTCTGCAGCGCCGGTTCCATCCCCGGCTGCTCCCCGGCCACCGGAGGAGGGTCCCACATGGCGCGCAGACCTCTCCTGCCGCCCGCTGCTCCCCTCAGCAGTGTACTTCGGCCCTTCTGCCTGCTCTGCTCCCCGCTCTGGCTCTGGTGAATTCTCTCACCCTCCCGCGCTTCTGACTGTACCCAGTGCTTGTATAAATAAATAAATAAATAAATAAATAAATCTTTAAAAAAAAAAAAAAAAAAAAAAGCAACTTTTGGACTTTCTCTTCTATTTTGATGTTGATTTTCAATACCTGTAAATTACATAGAGGTCACGTTGTTGAACTTGATTTGTTTTTTCAAATTACTGTCTTTTGCAATGAAAAATACTATAACGTATTGCCAAAGAGTCATCAATATCTTTATAAGTTACAGAATAGCTATTCAGCTTTGCTTTCTCCAAAATGTAAGTTTGATTGTTTCTCCTTCATCTCTTTAGAAGGACGTAATTTCTCTCCTTGAAAAATTCATTTTCTCTAGTTTTGTTCAGAATTGTGCAGTTTCTATGGAAGCTTTTCAAGAAGTCTACTTGTGACTAATATAACAAGTTTCTTAAAAATGATGTTGTGGTAAAAACTCACTTTAGCTATAAAAGTGCCCCAGTCTTTTATGTGTATTTCTGTATTTAAGTATTTCAGAAAATTATCTGGCCTGTTTGAATTAATCTGTTGTTCTAATATTGTGTAATTAATATTGTGTTCCTGGGTTTTTCTTTCTCTCAGCACAATTGGCAAAGAGTTATTTATTTGTGTATGTATATAAATTTGTATATATGAAAGACACCCATTGCCATGGATGTGTGACAGATATTATATGTAAAGAAAGTACTACAATCCCAATTTCCAGATGGATAAACTGAGGGCCAGACAAGTTTAAGAGGGGTCTAAGGTCTTAGCAAAAAACAAATTTCCTGCACAAAGGTCAATGCAATTTTCCCCTGTAGTATCATTGGTAGAGATCATATGTTCTATATTTAATGTCATCTCATACATTCGACTTCCTTCTAGAATGGCATTTTCTCAGTTATGTTCTGCAGATTCCACTTCTATTATGGTGTAAATTCTGTCCAAGTAGGATTAGGTTATCAAATGGGTTTAGGATATAGTAGCTTAAGCAGAATGAAACAGATTTCTTACTGCAAGACTTTTCAAACCTTAATGTGTTTGTGTGCATTGTGACTCATCTGTATTGTGGGAAAGATAGATGTGGACGTCTGCATATGTAAAGGGAGGGGAACATTATGCAGAAACCACTTTATAAAAGACTTTACAAATGATCTGGAGAGACATCAATGAAGTCAGCATTTTAAAAAGTGGTTACCTTGGTTAAAAGCAACTCCTCGCTTCTGTCTTTGAACATATAGAAGGAGAATATAGGCAAACAAAAGCCTACAGTGAAATCACTAGACTCTAGCTCTGTGTAATGTTAAAGGCAGACTTCTCCATCTTTCACAGAACAGCTTCTCATGGTGCTGTCATGGGAAGGACTTAGAATGCTGGTCATATAGATTCACAATGCCTTCACGGCTTCTTTCCAATTCTTCTGGACTTATCCACTCTGGATCATATCTACCAAGATTCTGACAACATCTCTGAGTCTTTTATGAGTGAACACCACTAATTCAGTTCAGTAACATGGTAGTTAAAGTTTTGCAGAGATGAAACATTTTAGACCTGCAGCAATAGAATCTCTTTAAATGTAGGCTCAGTGAAAATGAAGATTGAGTTATATTCATACTCGAACTGTCCTCTTCCTTTCAAGAATGGTTTCCTTTCATTTAAAATGGTTTCCTTTCATTTCCTTACAGGAGAAAACACGGGACCAACGCCCATGAACATGAATCCTCAGCAGACCCGATTCTCTGATTTTCTTGACTGTCTTCCAGGAACAAACGTTGACCTAGGAACTTTGGAATCTGAAGATCTGATCCCCCTCTTCAATGATGTAGAGTCTGCTTTGAACAAAAGCGAACCCTTTCTAACCTGGCTGTAGTCAGTACTGTTGTAACTGGATGCAGTGTGACCTGCCTGACATTTCCTGGGCCTCTTGGAAAATGCGAGGGAGCAGAGGACTTCAGCAGGTGAACCACTTCCTGCCTCATGACTCATGCTCCCTCCTTTCCATGCGGCTAGCTTAGTGATTGCCTGGATTTGATTGGCAGTAACAAGTTAAACACAAATATTTTCTTTACCATTTTGCAAACTTGCGTTCCTGCAACTAGATTGTACGAAATTGTTTCTGCAGAACTGATTATGCAGAGTTGCTTCTGTTTTTCTTTCTGCTGCCCCTTGACAACATTTTATGGGTGTTAGTTAAATTTATACAGGTATTGATTATAAACCATAAAAATTGACCACAGGCAGTCACTTCTGATAGGCAGCTCAGTCCAGGAAATGTACACAATATTAAACCTGTTTTGCAGTTTGAAAAACTATGCTGATGACAGTAGTACTAATACTTTTAAAAGTATTAACTTGAGCTTTAAAAATAATTGTATGGATAGTAAGATTCTGCTGTACGGACACAGTATAGTTCGGAATTCATGCTGGTTCTGATGGTTCTTATTACTCTGCATTTACATCGGCATGCACAGTCTATCCTTTGTGATTTTATTGCAGTGTCTAGGCAATTAGTCCTTTGAGCAGGAGGAACGTCGCCACTTTAGTCACCATTCGTGCATTGCAGATTTTATGAAAGAGACCAGTTTGGTACTAATTGTGAGCATTTATAAAACAAAACTTTTTAAAACTGCAAAAGTTGGATCTTTTTAAAATTGCAGCTTAGGATTTGATGTTTATTTTATAAAGCACCAATCATTTTGTAGCTGGTAACAGTGAGCAGCCAACTGTTTTTGATAAATCAGCAACAATGGTGTTTTTTGTTTTTTGAAACTATTTTGAAAACATCAGGACAATATAGGTGCCAGCCTGAGGGCAGGCGCACCCAGTAATCTGTTGCTTTTTAAACTCTGGAACCTTGTGTGTTTTGCTTTCAAAATTTTAAGCATTTACGATAATTTTATCTATGATACTGTTTTGAAGGATGAAGCAGATCTCTGACTGACGTTAAAAAAAAAAAAAAAACGTCTTCTGAAGGCACATGGTGGAGACATATATTTCTGAATTCTGACTTCTAAGTATAATACCCTAACTTTGTTTGCTACAGTTAGTATGAAAAGGCATGAAATATGTACTCAATACCTCTTATGTAACCAAAAACGTTTTATTATTAGCTTTTAAGGACTGAAAGAAAGCATCCTGTTCACCTGGTGTGCACTCTGACTGCATTGCCTATGAAGTCCTAACTGTTTAATATTTTGAACTGACATTATTTATAATCTATGAATTTCATATTTGTTTTGAAAGACATTAATGATTCAGGTCTCTTAGAGGAAGCTTTCTGTTCCCAAGAGGGCTTATTTGTTGGGGATCTTAAGTAAGATTTTTCTCGATCTACCAAACATACAGGGGCAGAATCCATTTGATCTTGTTGGAAAGAAGGCAAGTGAAAAGGTCAGAGATGAAGCAGTAAAGTGAAGGAATATGGTAGAAAGGATACTAATTGTGAAATGGAGATAGACTTGTTACAGTACCCCAAAAGCAAGATGAGCAGGAAGTAGGAGAGGTGCCCTGAAAGAACAAAGTAATCATTTTCTCCTACAGCCTTTATACCCAAAAACTGTTGTAGAGGAAAAGAGAGCCTTGGTGCACTTTAGTGGCAGAAAGTGGGGCAGGGCTGTGAGTGCCCTGTTCATGTGGACACTGAGCATGAGAGTGGACAAGAGCATAAACCTGCTGTTGTGTCCAGCACCGTGGAATGATTGCATTTTCCTGAAATGGCTTGTGTTCCTCTGATTCTTTCTCTACGTGCACTGAGAGAGATGGGGGTAGTTGTTTATGTTGCTACTAAAGTGAAGGGAGATCTATTTCTTTTTCTCTTTTATTAGCAAAAATTACAAAAAGAGTTGTACATTCTTTCTAAGAAAAAGAAAAAAAACAAGGGACCTAACAAAACTGAGCAGTGTTACTGTATTTTTTAAAAAATATTTTTATAGACTCATTTTCAGGTTATTAAATGTAAAAGAATATCCCTCTTTTTTTAAAAAAGGTAGTTAAAATGATGCTATGTATTATCAACTTTTAGAAGTAATTTCCTAGTAAGCTTGTGGCATTAGAAAATACTAGATTTTTTTTTTTGATGAAATTAGTTGGAACATTTATTAATGAACACAATATTTTTCTAGGATAAAATATGGACCCTGATTATGTTTTTACTAATAGATAAAATCAGAAAATATTTTTTGTTTGTTTTTAAGACCATCAATTTTGGCCTTTATTAGAGAACACTAAAGTTTGAAATATAGAGTAAGAATGATTTTTTAAAAGATTTTTCCTGATAGTGTGTTATAAACCCTCCAGAATTCATAATAAGGTGCTACTTATACTTTCTTATTATAAAAAAACTGCCAGGATATCTGGTCTGTTTAGCCCTAAATCAGTAAACAAACTATGCCATTTCATCTAATAACCTTGCCATGGTAAAGGCATATTCAAAATTGAAATTGAAAAATAATTTCAGAGATATTTCTTTCAAGGTAATACTTTTCTAATAGAATACATTTTCTTGAAGTAAATACATTGTCAAAACCTTTTGCAATTCTGCTAATTGTTATGATTCATCATAGAATTTAAGACGTGAAATGACATTTCTTTCACTGATTATACAATATATGAGAAGCATGTAAAACAGTAAAAAAATTTTAGTGTACTGGGGGTGCTATCAACCCAAGTGGCAGTAAAGTCCTCTGCAGAAGAAGGTGATTGGAGTGAAAGAAGTGTTGCTAATTACAAGTTGTGTTCTCATGACATAATTAGAAAGTCATTTTTGAAAGAGCAACTTTTATATAAAAAAATTAAGCTGTTTAAAAAAAAGGAAATTGTAGATTAATTGGGAAAATGGCTATTGACAGAGACTATTTCCCTAATACATTACATCACTTATATGCTAGTTCTTTAACTTTTAAAAAATTATTTTCCACATTTTGTAATATGACATATGTGTGTTTATTTTTAACTTAGAATGCTATGCGTACAGAAAGTATGCAGCCAAATCAATCAGGTAAAACCATGTTACCTAGAGTTTGGTACTGGTTTTGACTTGTCTGATTCTGTATAAGAAAAATAAATACAATTGAATTTCCACTTGGAGGCTTTGCCTTTTCTTTATTTGTATGTGTTCCTTTACTGATGTCTTTTGAGTGGTGCTGAAGAGAAGCTTATGTAACCCTCCTGACAGACAATGAAAGAAAGAAAATTTAGTAGGCAAACTTGGTTTTGGCTCAAATGCCTGGTCTTCACTATTTTAAGTATCCACAGCATTCTGGTTTTCACTTTATTTGAAGTATCCCACTGAGGTTTCTTGGGGTGTGTGTGTATGTGTGTGTGTGTGTGTGTACACGCATGCTTGTGAGCACTTACCTGTGTATACATATATACATATATGTGCTTGTAATTTTTAAGATCATACTGTCCTTTGAATACCCTCACAGAAAACAGCAGAGTCCTAGGATTCAAGTATTTCTAGTCTTATTAACAATATGGTCTGGCTTCTTGCTGTCAAAACTGAAAACAGCACATCATCCATTCTTAGTGTAGGCTTGTGATAGTTTGTTTTCTCTGTCCGTTGAGTACTTCGAGGCTCACCGCCAGGATACCTTTGTCCATCAGAGACAGACATGTTAGGTGAGAGCAAAGGGGTGTTTTGAAGTAGAAGCATTGAGCTAAACAACAGAAAGATACTGGTGGAAGTGCTCATCAACATTCCAATGTTTAAGCTTCATATATCTCAAAAATGATCAAGTTTAAGTAATATGTTATAAATTACAACACATATAAAGTAAAAAGTGAAAATTCTCTATTCTTAATTCTTGGATTTTTAAAATTATATATGTTAGATTTTCTCCCTAGGTTATATTCTGTGCAAAAGAAAGGCAATTATGTGTGCTGTTTTGGGGAGGGGGGGGAAGCTTTTTTTCTCTCTCTTAACAGTAATATTTCTAACACGTAGTGAGTATAAACTTTCTGCCAAGCATTATGCAAACCTTGATACATATTATCTAATTTCAATTTCCCAATGGTGTATTTTAATTTTTTTTTATTAATATAACATTGGTTTATAGCTCTCTATATATGATTCACACCTCCTGGGATATATTTTACCACAGTACACTCATTGTCAAGGCACCCATATTCCTCCAGAACAGTCCATCAAGCAACATCCCTCCTTTGCTCTATTTTTATTCTGATAGCACACTGCTTTAATTCCTGTAGCTTTGAAATATAGTTTAAAATCTGGGAGTGTGATACCTCTGTTCCTCCCCCTTTTCTGTCATGACTGCTTTGACTATTTGAGGTCTTTTGTAATTCCATAACATTCAGTAATGTTCTATTTCTTTGAAGAATTTAATTGAAAACTTGATAGAAATTGCATTGAATCTGTATACAACTTTAGTAAAGATAGCCATTTTAACAATGTTAATTCTACTCCATGAGCAGGAAATATCTATTTTTTGTGTGTTTTCTATTTCTTTTAGCAATGCCTTAGATTTTTTATTCTGAAGACTTTTACCTCCTTTGCTGTTTTGTTCTTTGGCTTTTTGTTCTTCTTGTTGCCATTATAAATGGCATTATTTTCTTGATATTTTTCTCTTCCAGTTTGTTGTTTGTATATAGGAATGCAACCAACTTCATAAATTGATTTTGTAGTCTACCGTATTACTATACTGATTATTGTTTCTAGTAGTTTTTAAGTGTTGTCTCTAGAGTTTTCTTATCATGCCATTGGCAAATAATGATAATTTTACTTCTTCTTTCTCATCTGAATTCTTTTTATGTATTTCTTCCGTAGTTATTCTTGCTAGGATTTCCAATATCATGTAAAAGAATAGCGGTTAATGGGGAAATTCTTGTCTTGTACTTGATATTAGAGAAAAAGTTTTCAGTTTTTCACTATTCAGTATAATGTTAGCTGTGGATTTTTCATGTATGGCCTTTATTATGTTGAGGCATGTTCCATCCCCATTTTTTGGACACTATCACAAATGGGTATTGAATTTTCTCAAATGTTTTCTCTACATCTGTGATAGGACCATATGATTTTTTTAATGTTTCCTTTTGCTCATGTGGTGAATTACATTGATCAACTTGTGAATTTTGAACCATCATTGCATCTCGAATAAATCCCTCTGTGATGATGTATTGTCCTTAAATGTATTGTGGAATTCAACCTGCTAAGATTTTATTAAGTATTTTTGCCCTGTTCATTATAGGTATTGGCCTATCATTCTCTCTTTGTTCCCTCCTACCCTCCCTTCCTTTTTCCTTCCTACCTTCCTTCCTTCCATCCTTTCCTCCAGGCCATAGCATCCCCACATTTCTCTCTACCTAACTCTTTTTTTAAAGATTTATTTATTTATGCATTGAAGAACTGGGGTACATGCCAGAGGTGTAAGGGGGTGAGAGGATTCACCAAAGACAGAGTG